TAATGCTTCCGAAGAATGGTGGGCAGAGAGACTTGCGGTGAGCTTTTTTTACGTGTCCCATATTTTTGTCATTTTTTAATTTGTTTTTAAATTCAACTTCATGTAATATAAATTTGTAGGTTGTGTCTACTGCAAAAAAATTTAAATACAGTGGAATCAATCCTAAGTTGGAGAAATTAGACCATATGTTTAGGGGTGTCGTGGCAACGAGCAACAATGCATGCGTCCTCAGTGAGACAGAGTTTGGTGGTATCATAAAAAAATTGGGAGCTGACCAAAAGGGTGATTCCACTAAAGGCACCTGCCCAGACCTCCATGAAGTTGACTCTATATGTCGCTCTAAGCGTCACTAGGTTGAAAATAAAAAGAAAGCAAAAGCTACTTCCTTAGAAGCCAAATATCACAATTAATGGCTTCATGCACCAATGACTTCAGCACATCTCGAGCAACTTCTGTCCAGCAGGTTGTGCAAATTATGGATTAAACTCTAAAACTTTCGGAGGACATGTCGTTTTATTTGATTTATGGAAGTTGCTTGCAGATTCGACCCGAAAATAGTTTTTCATCACGATATCCGCTAACCGTATGATGACTTACCCACAATATTTTTATGGGAACATGAACAATTAAGATAGATTTTTTTAATTAGATTCGCGTGGCACATTTCTTTATGTTTATAATTTTCATTGTGCTCTACATATTTAAACTATTTTGGACATGTTGCTTTACATTAGAGTTTTTTATTCCTCGTAATGTTTTCTATTTACTTATGTAACGTTATTTGCTTGTGTTGGTTTTGTTCATAGTCTTATATTATTGTAGCTAATTCATTGATGCTTATGTGTTAACCACTTAGATATCGAAATATATGGATGCAACTAGAGAGAGGCGTAGAAGAAGAGTTGAAGCTCTCATAGGTTTGATGTGCGAATATTTCATGACAGAATTGGGTAAGGAGCAGGGGATTGAAAAGCTCTACAGTGACAGTATGAGTGTGATTCATCTTGCTAAGAACGTTATTTTCATTCCAGGATGAAACACATCCGGCTCGGGTATTATTTCATTTGATCTCTTATAGAAGATGAGTAATTATTTTTGTAAAAGATACATACAACTAAAAATCCAACGAATATGCTGACAAAGGTGGTGACGGTTGAGAAACTGAATCTGTGCTTGGCTGCAGTTGGATTTCATAAAAATTGAGACGATAAGGCACACCACGGACGTGATCGCATGACGTGATTATGAAGGTGATTCGGATGAAAGTGCAGGTACAGAGGACTGGACTCGGTGCTATCAGTTTCCAAGTGAGAGATTGTTAGGTGTGGAGTCTGAGAGGAGCACCCATGATCAACAAGTAGGCTGGCTTTCTCACAGACAGTGCTCCCGGTACCTTAGCGTCGGGCTATGGGTGCTCAAGCGCTCATTGGTTGTTCACAGACCGAGCAGGTGGAAATCTAGTGCACACTTTGGGCGCTTAGGCACCAATGGGGTCTTAAGCGCTCACTTTTGGCGCTGGGGGGCCAGTTACCCGAGAGCTTGACGCCTAGTTGGCCAGAGCAGTTAGTGACGTGATTATAGTTTTTAATCCCAATTTCAAGCTTTTTTGTTGAGTTTTGTTGTTTCTTTATTCTGTCTTTTTTGACAAGCATCCCAGTGAAGGTGAAGAGTGTTGAAGAGATAGATTTCGGTGATTCAGTGTTATTTTTTCTTTGGATTTAAGAAGGAAGATTGTTGGTGCAAGTGTTGTACGTTTCTTCGGGTGAGTGTGGAGAAGAAACTTGTGTGAGTTTTTTGTAAAATTTTCTGAATTACATAGTAAAATTTGTGGTGGTGTGGCTATGGTTTTTCACGTTTTTGGGTTTTCTCACGTAAAATTTGTGTGTTTTTCTTATTGCTTTGATTGTGTTTCCTTAAATTTTTTGTTCCGGTTTTCTCAAATCCTGTGATCCTATTCCGCAGAGAAATTAAAAGGTGACTCTTTCGAAGTAGTTTCCTTAACAGATCATTTAGTCATTCAGCAATTTGTAATTACTGCATTTCTAAGAATGCATTCTATAATTTTGCTGTATTGCGTTAATTATTTTGCATCAATTTTATATTATTTTTCAAATAAATATTGTTTTATAAGATTAAAGGCATATAGTTATCAAATAAGCTCATTATAATGTCTGTAAATTTTCAAGAAAGACAATGATTTGGTTTGATTATGTTTTATACATAATTTAAACCTCGACTATTTGTATTTGGCAACCAAAGTCATAAAACATAGAGACATTACTAGTTACCAAAAACCAATTGTACGGTTAAAGACCTTTCAACATTAAAAATGACCTTCCTTTTAAAGATGCAATTATCATTGAGTTAAGGCATTTCCGAGCCTCTAGTGCTTGCCATTTATAAAAGTAGTTCATTCGATTCCGAGTATGCTTTCTTTCTATCGAAAATTTATCTATTGTATACTTCATTAGATCCCAAGACTTCCAATGAATACATTGTTGATCTTCTGAAGTTCTGGAGAGATTCCACAATTTTTACTCACTAGAGGAAAATCATTTTAGCTCTGGGGAATTGATGTAGAGTGTCAAAATGGTCTAACCATTAAGCCAATTCAGTTAAAGTACGCTCAATTTCTGATGACAAAACTCTAATTTAAATCATTTACTGTAAAATTTCAATTCATTTTTAATTAGCTTGATTATAATAAGATTCATAGTAGTTTTTATTTTCTTTGTGGAAGACTTTATTTGATTAGGAATTCAGATGTCTCAGAGATTTGGCATTAACAACAAATAATTGTTTGGTATCATTATTCTTGTTTTCTTGATGTTCTAAATTGATTTTCACAATTCAACAGCATGCAATACCTACAAAATATAGCCAAGCAGCTCACTATCCAAGCTTACTTGGCTCATGTTGGTCTAATCTACAATGAGATTGCCCAACTCAATATGGTACAATCAACTGACACCTATAAGCAAGCTAGACCAAAGGTAAGCAAGAATCTAAACAAGTTTTATTATCAAACAACAAATGCACAAATTTGATCTTTCTAGTTTAAACAAAACCAGTTCTAAAATAATTTCAGTGAAATGATGGAAGTACAAGGTTAATTTTCTTTCTAAGAAATTTTGGATCCGATTTTCATTTTAGCATTAATTGAAAAAACTCAAATGAACATCCTTATCATGGAATTTTTAAAAATAGCATAATTAGGGATTATTCTAATACACAAATATGGTGAGTTTTTGCCCTATGTTTGAACCTACAAAGAAAATTGTATCTAATTTATTTCAAAAACATTAAATAAAATTATTGAATTAAAGGTTCATAGACATATTGAATTCCTTTAATAGCTTCATAAAATATCTAATCCCAGTAACACATACATATAAGAATTCTTAAGATTTGTATTTTTTTCTTTACCCATAGCTCCCAAATCATCATGACGAACACATTGATATGTTTACATATGATCCTTCAAATGATAATATATTCAATACACGTATCAAATGTGTGGGAAAGTGATTTAGAGTTGCCATCTAAGAGAAAATCCTAGCAAACTTAATTTTTTTGTTAACCAAGCCTAGGTGTCACCTCAAACATAGAGTGATCTCAACATATTCCACTTGCACATGGATCACATTTGATTCATCATAAAAAATATCAAATACCCTAAAAAAGAATTTAATAACAATAATGATATTATAGCATTCCTATGAAGGCCTCTTATTTATCGTTGCACCCCCTAGGTTGAGTGATGTAAATTCATTTTACAATATGAGAAAATTATTTTATACAATCAAACGTAGAAAGTATACTGCTACACATTATTCAGTTCAAAAACAATTAAAATTGTCGCTTTAGTATCTCTTAAGAGGTTAAAGCTAATAAGTACCATTATCCTGAAGAGTGTAGAATTTCCTAATCTACCTCTAATGAAAACTGCTAAAATTAAACCGAAAAATTATTTAAAAAAATTCTCAGCTAATTGAAGAATTAGTGTTTCAGTGTCTGTTGAGAGTTGTAAATTGTAGCTCATAACCCTACCCTTCCACTTTCCACGTAAAGGTTACAATTAAAACTTTCAAGGTTAGAGGATGCCAAAAATTAAAGTTGGCATACTTGAAATATTTGGAATCACAAAAACAAATATATGATCTTACCTCCAAATAACATCCCAGTCTCCTACTCAGTTTTCTCTCTGAATTCCATTGTTTATCGTGAATGTTAGCATTTTTCCTAATTTGTTAATGATGGGAAATATGCATTCAATTCCTAAACCAAATGAAAATATAAAATTTATTAATGATGTGGACTCTTTCCTAATTTCGGTGAAATATGTATATTTCCATTTGAAATATCATTTGGCCACCAAGAAATTTGGGAATATATTATTATAGGCAAAAAATATAAGTTAAATTTTACAATTTTAATTGCTTCCGTCTATAGAAGAACAAAAAGAAAAACTTCTCGCCAATCCTAAAGAATTTACTTTCGAGCTGAGAAAAAGATGGGAAAACCAACAACACAATTAAGTGGACTATCTCTTCAATCTAACACCCATCCTTATGCTAGATAATGTGATAATTAGACACCAGTGATATTTTTAATTACTTTACTGCTCCTACAATAAATTGTCAAGCAAAAATTTATATATTTGAGGTTTATTTAACAAGAATAATGATTATTAATTAATAATTAATTTTCTTCTCTAATAAGCCCCTATACATATAATAAAAAAGGACCTCAAATTCATAAGAACTTGGAAGAATTTCCTTACTGAATCAATTTTCCAAAGATTCTATGGGCTCAGCCAACATAGAACAGACTAAAAAGCATTGTTATAAAACAAATTTTAAACAATACAAAGATAAAGAAAAGAAACCTTCTATAAAAATCTGAGTGAATGCATAATCTACAAATTCAGAACACCGTGTGTGGATATTCAAGACAATAAAATAGCAAAATATAAAAGTTACTCAAAAACAGGATCAAACCTTTGCTTCAAGCATTCCTCCCAATACCAAAAAAGCAGAAGAGAGTAGCCATCCTTGTTTTCTGGTAAAATATGCAAGGGTCTTTGTATGAGGCATTTCAACCTGCGGTTTGGCAATAACCTGAAAAGGCATAATTCGTTAATAGTCTAAAGACAAAGCTGTGCCCTTACATAATATAATAATTAATCTTTTGTTGAGGTGATTTAATCATATAAGAGACGCTAAGTACCACCTTCTTCATTCTCTCCAATTTCCCTAGAAAGGAATTTATAGGAAAGATGGAATGTTTCAACTGTCTACAGACTAGCCAGATACATATATATATGTACATACATACATATATATATATATATATATATATATATATATAGATACATAGATATTTGGTTGTAGAAATAAGGTACATCAAACTAGCTCTAGTTCATATTCATCTAGGGTGGAAGAATGTAGAGTTGTTATGCACTTTCTCAAGTCCATGAAAGAGGATAGGGAAGCACTGCAAAGTTTGGATTTTGTTTTTTGTCTTTAATATGCTAAACTGGCATTGGAATGAAAAATGTTTCTCTTACAATACTTTTATAAGATCATTCTTTTTTTTAAATTTAAATCTTCTGAGGATATTGAATCCTTGGACATCAAAGCATATATGTAATACATAGTGTAACTATGATGGTTAAAAAGTGGAGGAAAGTATAGGAGCTACAAGAGATGATGGATGTGTTGATATTTGGATTGCATTTTAAGAATTGCTATTTTATTTAGGAAGTTTTGAAGCTCTGAAGATCGTCACAATAAAGTTTGATAAATTTATTTACATGAATAAAAATGCTATTTAGAAAGACGTTCATTTAGAAGCTTCAATTAATGTGCAAGTGCACCACCTACCAACTGCAATAGTATTCTGAAGTATTTGGACAATAAGAATAATTCAGGTACAAAATAAAGGTTTATTAAGCAATCTTAAAGAGGAATGATAGTTACCATCCATTAAATATAAAAATAGACTTAAATAAGGTCACAGTTCTATTCAAAAGAAGAGCTCTACACAATGGGAAGGATAGATAAAAATTATAACGATCAACTTCACAATTATGGGATATTATTGTTACAGTGTAATAAGTCAAGAGAATAGGAGAAGATTATGAATTCTTCTGCTTTGATTTATTAAATGGTCGTCTTGTTTTTTTTTTTATTATTATTATTTTCTTTCTTTTTTTGCTCCTTCCTGATTAATGGTACTTGGAATGTTAAGAGTTTAAATATTAAAATGAAGAAGATGACATGCTTTAAAATTCTAAAGCTTCCATTTTGAGATCCACTAGTAAAAATAAAATTCAAAACTAAAAATTACTAAATTCTACATCGTAAATTATTAATTTTTTTTTGGGGATGATAAATTTTCTATTTCTACGTATTTTGATGACCGATAATCTTGTGAATTTTGTTTCCATCAAAATTTATGTTCGACAGTGAATAGAAAATATACTTTCCTTTGGTCTGAACTTCATCCAATAGGTTCTTGGTGGCCATCATTGGATGTTATTTGGGGCTTTAGAAAATCCCCACCCCCACACCTTTCTCGCGACATTAGCTGCAAGTGTCGCGTTACTATTCTCACACCACGACTACAGTGCCACAATCATGGCGGGTTGTAGTTTTGTGCCTGGACCGAACCAATCTAGTTTTCTTCGCAGTTGCGAAGTCAACCAACCCTTATGGGCCACTCCTTACTATCCAAACATCCAATACTGCTGCCTCACCCAGAAAACCCCTTCGCCTTATCGTTTTTCTGCAGCCTCAAACCTCTCAGTCATCTACCCCTCCGTTCTAGCATTGTTGTCGCCCCAACTGCCCCTTGTTACTGTTGTTCTAGCATTGTTGTCGCCTCAACTGCCCCAGCTGTCCAGCACACAGACACAAATATCATTGTCGCCGCTATCCAACCATCCAACAGTGTTGCCTCAACCAAAAAACCCCTTCACCTTATTGTTTTCCTGCAGCCCCCAGCCTCTCAGTCATCTACCCTTCCGTTCTAACATTGTTGTCGCCCCAACTTCCCCTTGTTACTGTTGTTTCAGCCCTCCTACTGTGTCATTGTCACCGAGGACAGCTAGGAAACACCACCTTCCTGTTGTTCTGACGCCACTCACTCAAACTCTTCGCTGCCACCATCCAGGATAGCAACAACACTTGATGTCCCTGCATTTTTGCACCTCCCCCTCGCTACCACCAGAATTCCTTTGCTGCCACCACACCCACCAACCATGCTGATCCATCTAGTCAACTTCAGCACCCTTAGGATACACTTTAGTGGAGTTTGCTTAGATTTGTATTTTCCCTTTCAAGTGTGTTGGTTGTAACCGTTTATTTGTCTTTTAGGAATAATATTTATTTTCCTGTTGTGGTTTGGGTTAACTCTGGTTTAGTATCAAAGTTAGTGTAATTCTAATCTCATTCTAAGGTTTCTAACATCCACTACACCTAAACCTATATCCACCTAAAATTTTTCTTTCTCACCCTAATCACCTTTACACATCTCATTCCACCTACCCACATTCCAAACCTAGTCATGCCGCCAAGGAGATAATCGTTGGAAGCTTGATCAAGGGGAAATGACACGATGTCGTTTATGAAAAATTCACAATTAGATATCCGGGGGATTTCTAGGGAGGATATGAAGTGGGAAAGCCGCCAACTAATATCGAAGCTTACCATCTTCGAGAGGCAATCCAGACGGGTCGCCCATAGGCACACGGACACTTGCCAAATAAAAGAGATAAAGTGAAAATTTTAGGGATGAAGAACCTTTGCTTCGAAGATGCAACCTGAAATATTTGAGAAGCCATAATTTTAAAGTAAATGTAGATTTACCATATTTCAACGACCACATGGAGTCAGATGAGGTCATTGAGTGGCTCCTGACTTCGTAATGTATCTTCGAGTGTCGGGGCGTTTCAACCGACTAAATGATGAAACTAGCCGCCAGAAAGCTGAAGAATAATGCATCATTTTGGTGGCAAAATCTAAAGTCCCTATGTCAGCTAGAAAAAAAGATTAAAATTACTACCCGGTCCAAGATGAAATATGAGATGGAATGTCAGTTCCTACCACCTCACTACAAACCAGATGTTCAAACCCTAGCTTCAAAAGTTGAGAGACCACAAACAACCACAACAATTTATAGACAGGGTTCAACAACAGGATATTAGAGTCAAAGTATACTTAGGAGAACATCCGAGTTGACCCCACCCGAAGAGATGCTAGTTCAAAAGGGAAACCAAAAGACGCCAACCAACATGCCAAAATTCATCCGTCATTGAATTTAGGCATACCGAACCAACTTGCACAACCAAGAGATTGATCTCATCACAGATCAGGGAGCAATTGAAGAGACAAACAATGATCTAGGAGAAGAAAATTTCAAAGAGGCTTCTCAACTTTCAGCTAACAAGAAATAAACGCCAACAATTTCAGTTGACCCCAGGAGAGAGACTCCAAGTGAGTTGATAGTAGCTGCTCTAAAAGGTAGAAAATATGAGGTAATGAGTATTCATACAGATTATGAGGTTGTGGTGCCTCAAACTAGATTTTGTAGACGTTTGGAAGAGCATCAAAAAGATTGACATTGAATGTCCCAAAAAGCTGTGAGTTTGAGGAGTCGATACTAGACACAGGGCAACTTCAGATAAAAGAATCTTAGACGTTTCAGATATATAGTCTATATCCCGAGTTTTCCTTATTGAAGAAGGTCCAACTTGTCAGATATTAGAAAATTTTGAGTTATTTCTTGAAGAAAATACAGTCATTTAAGTATTAAAATTAGTTCAACGATGAACCCCCCAAAAGAGGATCATATAGGATGGATGAATTGTAGTGTTGGGTATCACCTCAGGGTCTTTGTAGGAAAGAGAATCCTACAGTGAGATTCAGGTCCTACCAGAGAAGACGATGTTTCTCCTGAATGGTTACTAATGAGAGTGGCTCACTTTGCCACAGATTTCATCCCCAAATTTGAATCCTCCTTACATATTTGCTTGATGGAGAAAATAGATCGAGTACGAGGAGTGGAAGAGAAAAGTTACGGAACTAGTGTCTCGAATGTTACTTTGGAAAAAACTATGATTATATGCAACTACAACTCAGGTTATGCTAAAAGCAGATGTTATTTATTCTATTAGGATGTTTGAAATGAAATTGCTGGCATAAGTGAATTATCGAGGAGTTACAATAACTCTACCACTTTTAAAATGATTGATCTGACCACCATAAGGAGACAAAAACTTCGATTGATAAAGTCAAATCTCCCCCAACTCCATGATACTATCGCGAGAGCGACCAGGAGCCCTACCCCCTTCCGCCACATTAGCTATAGTGTCGTGGGACTGTTCTTCTGGCACTGTTATAGTGCCGCGACCGTGGCGTGCTGCAATTTCAAGCCCGAAATGAACCAGTCTAGTTGTTTTTGTTGTTGCGGAGTCGGTATACCATCCTAGGCCACTCCTCACTATCCACTTAATATATATTTGCATTTTTTATGTTTTAGAGTTTTTTTTTTTTTTGTGTTTTGTATCAAGACAACCGCCAATATCTCTTCTTCCCTTCAAGTGATGTATCACAGGGTTTCATGCACCAGTGAGCCTAGTGAGTCACATGAAAATTCTATCCAGCAGTTTATAAGAGTTATGGAAGATACTGCAAAAACTGATGAGGCCATGCCGCTTTACTTGTTCTCCATGAAATTGTTGGAAGACCCGACAAGTAGAGAGTTTTCATATCAATGAAAGTTGAGCGTAGGATGAATTATTTAAGATATCATTACGACAATCAAGATGCGTAAATTTTTTAGTTTATTTTATGGACTAATTTATATGGTTTGGATTTCATATTTTTTTTAAATTTCGATAGCTTCCAATTATTTCTTACAGTACAATGTTCATTATATGCTATCTTTTTACGTTAAATGTTGTTAAATCTGATTTAGTCTTCTTTTATAGTGATATATGCTTATACAATGAATATCATGGATAGAGAAAGACACGAGAGAATAATTACAGTTGCATTATGTTTATTGCAAAAATATTACAACTCATAGGTTGCTCGATCTCCCAACATTACTTCTA